CAACCAGCACTCACCATTTGTGCACGCCACGTGCGTTCCGCGTGTACCGTGGTCAAGCAGTATCCGGGACATTTCCTTTGAGCGGTTGCAGGTGCGTATATAATGCAGGTGGTTTGCAGCTCTGTCCTCTTTTCTGACGTTCCCCATGAGGATTTGTTTTTCTGTTTCATATACCCACAAAAAATTGCAAACCGAAGGTAACAATTTTGATAAAAAGGTAGGAGAGATTAACTCCGACGTTTAGAACAATGTGCTGCTTGCTTCCTATGTACCAAAAAGAACCGTGTTTCGGGCACATGGTCCACCGGGTCGTGAGCAATACCATGTTATTAAGTGATCTCTTTTCCGGGCACCCAATGTTAACAAAAAACGGGTACCCAGTTCTAAAAATACCCGGAAATGCATACCCCTAGCCAGGCATCAGCCATTAATTGGCTGATCCATGAAGCCCCATCCCATAAAAGGCCCTGCAAAAAGTGCCCCCTCCCCGTCGCCAGTGCTGGCAATATAGAAGGTTCCTTCCAAGCCAAATGCCTCGTATATATTAAGACTAATATATTAGCGACTTACGCCCTGGTGAGCTTTTAAAAGCGTCAGGTCCAAGCGTTGACTTGGTTAGCGGCAAAAGGGTGAACAATTTGCTTTTAGAGGCCCCAGCAAAACACGCTGGCACCAAATTTGCTATTTAACCAATAAAACTTTTCTAACAGGACATTTTGACACTGCCAAATCACGGGATCAAAGGCGGATGAAAGTATGTACATGAACTACACTTCTGTGTGAAGATTTTCAAGATCTGTACTTTACGCCCATAATACGCAGTGAATTTGACGTCGCGCCTCGACAAAACTCGCCAGGTTGGAATGGGTAAAAGCTTTTTTGCGAATACAAGGCGTGAAAATTTCGCTATGGTCATAACTCCATTCAAGGCATGAACCAGCCCTGGTAGGTAAATCACGCCTCTCTGGCTAACAGGCCAACTGATACATGAACTTAATGTGGTTTTTCTCGTAAGGTGACACAAAAACTGAAAAGCATAAGCCGCCGACTATTTTTGAGATGTTTAATAAGGTTTGAATAGTTCACTTGATCTAAATGTGCTTTGATAGTGGTAATATCATTTACACGAATGAAAAGGATATATACAGTTAATCTGAAAATATCTTTTGCTATGACCACTAGCTACGAATGTCACAGAACTGCACCAAATAAAAGAAAAACCACCACGCAGCTAAAATTCCTCAGGAGGTAAGATAACTTATCACAAGATGACAATGCACTCTGCAAATCATTTCAAGAATCTTCATTATCGAATAGCTTCGGTGTACATTAAAGCGTTACCTAAATTTAAAAAAAGGACAGCAAGACTAGTTGAACAAACACAAGGAATAAAACTCACATCGTCTCAAACAAATGAATAAAACTTACGTCGCCTTAGTGCTTGACCAATGCTGAATTGACCACAGTGTACTGTCCTACCACGAGAAGCGAATATTAACTTTCCAAAACTGTATTTGAAACAACGTTGAATTGAAATCGAACAAGCTCCAGTTAAAATTACGGCACTTAATATATGGAAACAGAAAAGCTTTAATTTAAAGGGGAATGCAATACCCCCCCCCAGAGCCTTCAAATTGAGTAAAGAAAATCACAAGAGATCGGTGCCTCAAACAGATAAATCCCACAATACCTACATTGGCAGGCCCGTAACTAGCACTTTTCGGGGGGGGGGCGAATCCTCAACAAAGCGGACCAAGCATAAATCTGTTGCTTTTTTTTTAATTTTGAAAACCAGCAGGATTCATGATGTCGTTCCACTTGTTTTTAATGGGGTTACAAGTAAACTCCCGAAGAGAGGACTGACCGAGGCGAAAAATACCGAAGCACGCGGCATTTTTTGGCGCAAAATGTTCTACTATATAGCTCAAAATCTTGTTTTGTCTAAAAAAGCGAACCTTTTAGTCACATGGGAGGGGAGTGCAGACGCTCCTCTTGCAACCCTCCCCCTAGTTACGGGCCTTTGGGAATCACAATCACAAGCTTTACAAGTAAATGCAAGTCCACTCTCAACCGATAGGACCTCAGAAAACGAGGGTTAAGTTAAAAATGATCTTTTGATTAGTACTTTCTTCAGAATTTAAGAAAATGTTGCTAATATGTAGCAAATAAAAATAAAACCAGATGTATACATCCTGATAAGAAGGCACTAAACATTATAAAATTCATTTAAAAATGAAACATAAAAAATTAAAATACAACATACATTTCCCAAGTACAGCATCTTCAGATTAATAATAGTAAAATCTCGGCTTGCAGTAAGAGATCTTTACCCAAGTATTATTATTGCTAAAAACGTACCTCTTACAAGTAAATTTGGTTAAAAGAATACATGTAAATGTGCTTTGAAATTCACAGAGGAAAAATATTACATGCCAGTAATATGCAAGCGGTATAAAGAATTCTGAAGCTCTACAAAGTAAAAATTGTTTTGTACATTTCCAAATACGTTCACATGAAGGTTCTTGAAGGTATTGTTTTTAAGGGTCAACACAAACATTCACTAAAATTGAAACATAAAAGGTCCTGTCTGACAAAAATCACTTTGTGTGACGAGAGAGACAGTGCTAAGTTTTATGTAAGAAACCAGATTTGAAAACTAGCATAGCAATCATACCCGGTAGTTGATATGTCACATGCCCTAGTTGTGAGGAGCTCCTAAAATCTCAACTCTTCTTGTATTAAGGTACTAAACACTACCAATGCTAACCCACAGCTGGAAATATTGCTACTGTTATGCAGCAGAAGATGACTACATCTTTTGAACACTGTATCGTGTTCATCAAATTTAAGAAAATATTTTTCTTGCACCATATTTAGGAAAAGGTCATATACTACAACTTCTCTACACTGTATACATTCTTAGTAAAAGTAACATGTAGATTGGAATAAAAACCAAGTGTCAAGGAAGTCCCTGAACACGTGATACAGAAAACAAAACTAACATGTAGACTGGAATAAAAACCAAGTGTCAAAAGAAGTCCCTGAACAAGTGATACAGAAAAAACTTCAGAAGTGGACAGTTGACAAACATACACCTATTATATTTGCATCATTGGGACTACGAATAGGGCAACACAGAATTCACATCTTGCAACTCACCAGCACCTCTCTGAAAAGTATTCTCAATATTTACTGGCCATGACAAGCTGCCATAGGCAAGAACTAACTAAAATTACAGCTCACTACTTACACTTACTTGCATTATGTTGCATACCAGCAAGCATTATTTCCACTACAACCAAATATAAAATAACAAAGTGACAGAAACTGGATAATGTCAACTGAATATAACCAACAGTGGGGTCCCAGGAAGGCTTCCAAGTAGCAACACTGACCTGTGACAGAATAGGAACATTATCGGGCACATCATGTCCCCATAACATCTAACACCATTAAGGATTGTGCCTCAGGCATGTACCGTAAAATGTCCAACATCTAACTCCATTAAACTTACATGATACCAAATGCTAGCCATGCACTGCAATTGGAGAACCTCATTTCATTCAACTCATTTCCATGCGACACACTTCAAATGCAATTTTCGTGCATTTCATGAGCTTCCTCTGTGGACAATAAATACCAGGAACTTATACAAACTTTGTAGATAATTTACCAGCAAAACTGAATCTCCTTCAATTTATTTCAAGCAAAATATCTTATCTGTTCTTATTAAGTGTAATGCTGTTCTTAAAATTGTTGTATTGTAGATCTGGCTTTGAAAAACTTGAGTGAGATGGCTCGTGCACCAAGGCATGACTGGGAGAAGGGGGCATGGGGGCACGTGCCTTTTACAGAAGTCTGTCTTTTCCCCTCCTGAGACCCCATTAGAAGTGTTGAAATGTACACAGCCTATGTACAAGCCACATTTCATTTACTTTCTGTGCCCCCCTAAAAAACAACTGCGCAACCTCAAAAGCTTCAGCCAAGTTACACCGCTACTCATATACAGGTAGAAGGTTTCTAAGTCACTACCTTCTAAGCCTTCTAATTACAGCTAGTGTGCAAGTCCTTGGTGATATTGGAGTCAATTCAGTTTTTTAGTCTTGCTTCAGCCAATCTAATATTTTGAAACTTCAGTATTTATGATGTTACTCAGAAAGATCAATTTGCTGATTTTTACAAAATAAAATATAAATTGTTCAAATGTTCAATACTCAGAGAGCAGGCTGTTCAGGAATCTGTTCATAAGCTGGTCCCAAGCCTCATAAATCAGTTACAACGTAGCCTGATGACTGATTCTCCTCAGCACCATTGCCTAAATCGGAAGGGTTCCTTCCCCGATGGGAGTGTACCCCGTGCTGAGTGGATTTACGCGTACCTCCGTGATACTGGAATACCCTCTCCCCTGGTTTGGGGGAGGTTGAGTTGTACATGTCACCAAGGGGATCGTGGGGAGAGTAAGGTGGGGGATCTGGTGGGGGTGTTCCAGGCGTTGCAAATCGTGATCCAGCAAAGGGTGCATAGTGAGGTGGGTTCATCCCCTGGAAATGTTTGTTCCTGCTTGGAGCTGAAGTTGCAGTGGTGTAATTACCAGCTCCTGGGGTTGATTCTGTTGGAGTTTCAGGTGGACTAGCTGCAGTTGGAACGCTGGTGCTTGGTGACAACACAGGTGAGAATTGCTCTGGAGTGGGTCCTGGAGACAATCTCTGGATGTGGCAAGTGTAGCAGAGGAGGTCATCATGAAGGGGATAGCACCTTTTACCATCCTCATCTGACAGCTGAAGGCCACAGTCCTGTCCGGATATAAACATGATATAGCTTTGACATTGCCACTCACAAGAGAGTTCCAATTACTGACTCACTGCTTGCAATGCCAGGCATACCTGGTCCAAATCTTCATTGGTTCAACAAACTTACTTGTGACATAAACACGAAGAATCCCATGAAGCACTGTGCATGTCTATGCATTACTTGTGGCAAAATGGTAAAAGCATCGAATAACGACCAAAGAGTTATCATTGATCTGTTTAGTCATAGAGAATATCTAAGTAGTTCAGTAATTATTTCCAATCTTTCCACTTACCAAACATCGGTAGCATTCCACATGAAAATCCTTATCCATTGATACCACTCGCACTGTCTCCATGGTACCCTAGGTGTAACCAAACAGCAGACTTCAAATGTCATTTACATTGTGTTATGATGGACCTGATTCAAAGAGTTTGGAACGCAAGATGCATGGCTTCTACTTGACTAGTACTTGTACATGGAAACTTTGTTAGTGGAAATGAAAATGTCAGGATGGCAGAAGACAGATGAGATTTACTTAGACACATCTGCTGAAAACTAACCAAGATGGTATAAATTGGTTGTTCTACATATCCGTTGGTATGCCTTTCTACTCAGTTATTACTCAAACACCAGGTAATGTTCCAATTTAGTCCTACAGCCAAACCTGACCTGAACATACGCAAGTGCATTTTGCTGATAAATCAATGACCTGTAAGAACGTGCACACACACCGATAGCGGTCTACAGGAAGAGACGTGGCATGATGTCTTCATTCAAACAACTGAACTCTGATGTCTAACATATTCAGTCAACTAAAACATAAAATATATAAATTGTCCCAGTGCATGATACTGTTATGCTACAACTTTAACAACGTTCCATTTCTTCTTTCAAATCTCTAACAAAAACTGAAAAGAGATGGAAGGGGAACCAGAAACTAGTTAAAGCAGGATATATTTATCCAAAGAATTTCTTACCAGCAGATCAGTAAACACTGCCATCGTGCCCTCACATAAAGATGTTCTTTAACAATCCTTGCAACATTTCATAATCTTCATATACATGTATGCCCATGCACTAAATGCAGTTTTTATGTTGGCTGGTATCAGTTAAGCTAATCTATGGTCTGTGTCCTTAGGATTGGAATAGAGCTACAGGTTGCGTGAACTCTACAGACGGTGAAAGTGCTTAGGCTTCATTGGAGTCTCTTGCTGCAACATTCCTGGCTGGCTGGGAGTAACTAAATAACAACTGGCACCCACTTTCAACAATATTTCCAGATGAATGACATCAAGTGAAAAACAGACATCTTCAAGCATGTAACTCCAATTCAAGCACAGCCAACGTGGTCAAAGGTGCGGCCAATCATGTGTACATGTATATGTATTGTATATCCTAACTCCTAGTTGGGATGTTACAAATGGAGGCCAGATTGAGAAGGGCGACAGAAGGGGAAAGGGTGCAAGTGAAAGGATCAGGTGGTGTCACCACTCTGCAGGATGATATGACATGATGCAGAGTGGAGCAGCAAATACAAGAAATACCTCTACCGGAGTAATGGCTTCTCTGCAGGCAGCACACTTGGGAGCATAGATCCTGTCATAATGAGATGAGAACAAAGGTACATATATCTTAAATAGCCCACAAGGAAGTAAATGCCATCATTAACTTAAAGATACAACATCTGTATATGAAGCATGCATAAAGATCTTCTGAACTGCAACCAAAATCTTGTTAAACTTGCAGTACTTTTTTCTTAATATGTCCATCTTCACACTACATGTGGAAGTGTCTCAAGTCATTTTGTTGATATTTCCCTGTTACTAAATTTGAACATTTCTTAAAGACACCATAAAATATTCTAGATACAATTAAGTATGTGAGCTACCAGTTTAAACAGAGTGAAACCAAAGAAGGTTTTTGGTTTGAAATATAAAATTACCATTTCACTTGAATACTAAGTCTTCTAACTCTTTTTTTGTTCAGTGAAGATTGAATTCACCTCATTAAAATCAAACCTAGTCATTTTTTTCACTCCATTTATGACACAGATGCTAATTGAGACAGAACAGGCTTGGTATGTTCAGATTCAAGTAATGAGAAAAGTTACAACCACTAGGGAACCACCACTGACACGTCGTTATCATATCCCGGGTCCTTAGTGCTTTCATGAACAAACAATCCCAATTCTTGAATAGCAAACAAGACACATTAATCAGTGACCGCCACAATCACATAAGAGACTGATAAACAAATAGTTGAAGTCTACAGTAGCACAGTGTCTGAAAACAATGCAGCTACAATGCAGCTACAATGCAGCTATCAGCGATATCTTCACTACAGATGTCATAGGTTATGCATACAGCACTGACATACATCGGTATAAAAGACAAATTACGTTATATTCTAAAAATCAACTGTTGTCTGCTGAGGTACAGCTCATAGTCTTGGAAGATAGCAACAGTTTACTGGAACACACTCCTGGATTTATTGACTTTGGTTGCTTCAATACCAATACATTCTCATCTATCAAGAACCTGCCAAATACAAGGAAATGTAATTAAGGGAGTGACGTTTTAATATTACTCTTATCAGTTCAATTATTAAAGGGAGGTATTTGACATTAGCAGATGTCCATACTAATGGCCCAAGATACATTTACAACCTTTTAAAGTTTTTAATAGATCCTTTGCCTGAGATGAAATAGAGACAGGAACAACACAGAGCATGTATACAGAAGTACCAGCTCACAGTCTGAACAATTACATGTACTTCAGGCTGCAAACTAACATCATTCAAATATTCACAATATCACTTAACAAGTTTTTATTTCTGGGGTTGATATTTTTCTACAAACGAGATGATGTCTGAAGATAGAATAAAACTAAAATTTGCATTTGAACAGAGGGTGCTTCCACTGTTCTCAGTCAATGGGTTGGTAAACAAGAAAACTGGCTTCAGGCTGGAAACATTTGAGAGAAATTCAAAATTTTCTGGCCATGTGATAATACTGTGTGAAGATAGTGTAAATAAATTTACACACTTTTTCCAATTTTAAATTCAACGTATGGTTGTATACCATATACTGGTACATTATATGTACCACATTGCAGTGTGTTTGATAAATTAATAATTAGTTGAGCAATCTGAGGCTTTGCAGTCTGAAAGGCAGAGTATCACAATTGATAACTACTTCTGAGCACTACAAAATAAACTTCACTTTGTTGTTTCTAAGCTTGCTACAGGTTTTTTTAATCAAAACATAAAGTAAATGACAGTAAGCTCAAACAAAAATACATGTAATGAACAAATCCAACATTGGTAAGTGGTAACAACCTCCACCAGGATAAAGAGTACATGTCCCATAGGGATGATTAATGACTGACCAATCCACCAGGGAACTAAAAAAACATCTTGCACATGATGCTGAAATGATTAATGCAGGAGGGAAAAATCATAATATACGAGTGGAAGCTTACACATTCTTGTAATACAAAATATGAAGCATGGAAATGATCGCAGTATAGAAAGAAGCAAACTGATTCAGAATGGAAGTGCCCATTTAAAAATTGTTGCCTGCTGTGTAGGGGTCCATGGTGTTTCGTACACGCAAAGGGGCATGTGCCATTTGCCACCTCGGTTGTAAAAACCCCATGGACCCCGTCACTGCAGGCAGCAATTGTTTTATTATGCCATGGTCATAGATTTCACTGGAACGGTCTTATATGTGTAATATAAGCATATTTTATTGCAAGATAAATTAAAACACTTTGACAAATTGAAACACTTGAACAGTAAGTTAGATATTAAATTTCAAGGAAAATTATTGATTGCGATGTCCTTGTTGACCTATGTTTCTTTTTTCTTTGGATTTAACTGTATAACAAACTTGTTTGAAGCCTGGAATTCCTGAAGCACAGGGGGTTTTGTTGACTGGTTGAATTTCAAGACATTATTTACACCAAATTCCGTTGAAAAGTATTGCCAAGATTGAACAGGAGACTAGAAGATATAATGGCATGAGCATTTTGTATCAACAGCAATGGCGATCGCAGTAGAATTAGTGGTCAGAACATACTTGTGTTCCACGAGCATTGCTGGGTGTATGACAGAATTTTAATAGCCTGTGGGTTTCCATCATGGTCAGAGTGAAGATTGTAGCACATGCCAACAGACAGTGCTTCAACGTTCCCCACAATGCACATCTCTTACAATAACTGACGCGTAGTACCAGCGTGGCTATCCACCCTCGTACCCGAGATTAAACAATTACAACGTAGCAGACATGACACAACAACTGTGGGAAAGATCACTATTATCAATCATTTTTTGTGGCCTGGACAGTGCACTCGACACGTGAATGACATATGCACGCTTGTAGCATAGCATATGATCCATTCGCAACCAACAAAAATTCAGTATCTATGACCGTGGTATAGCAAACATACTTGGGCCATTTTCCAATACTCAACTTTGTCTCCGTCTCAGGCTTCGTCCCCAAACCAATCCCCGATTGTGGGCCTGAAGCATTTAAATCAAATTGGATTACTGTCAGTTTTTGCTCTCTCTTGCATCTTTTTTGATATTTTGTGGCACTATTAGACTAACTAGTGCACTTACAGCTTCAAAGTCAGGTCGTAAAAAAACAGTTGAAGCCTGAGACGGAGCCGAAGTTGAGTATTGGAAAACGGCCTTGGTGTTTTGCAATAGTGGGACTTGTCTGAATGATGCATAGAATGTCCAACACATGACACAAAAGATAGAGAATGCATGCATGCATTTAACAGATATGCATCACAGAGATACAGGCACATGTACATGTATGTGAACCATATGACTCCTGTACACTGAAGTTGTTCACAGAGCACATGGAAACAAAACTTTGGTTTAAAAGGTAACAGAAACAGAAAAAACAAATACATACAACCTTGAGAGACAACAGTTTATCCACAAACAAACTCAGAATATCAAAACAACGCTGAAATTACATGTTGGTTTACCTTCTCCTGGATCAGTGAAAGGACAAAAAAAGAAGAAGAGAAATCCAAGTACTGTACATGTATGTAATGTCAGTAAGTAATCATGGTAGCAACCTGTTTCACATAATGGTCATGATGATTGGAATGACATGACTGACAAGTGCATGTAATCTGGATAACATAACAAAATATCAAAATCAGTCACCACTGTGACTTGAGAAAAAGTCCACTTTGATTGGCCATTTTTCTCGCATGCCTTGAGGCTTCAGTTGTAAACCAACGTAAATGTGCAGGTACCGTAATTTTCGGAATATCAGCTGCAGCTTACACGTTGATTATCACGCTGAGAAATGTCTCTGAGGCTTATACCTAGCAACCTTTGAAGGATAAAAATCAGTCATAAAAGCCGTGCATACCGTGTGCAGGTAGTGTAATCATATTTTCGATGGTTACCATTTACATGCGACAACTCAAACCTCAGGGAATAAACAGAATTAAACTTGTCCAGATTTGAGTTAACGAAAGTCATGGAGTCACAATACACATACCGGTACGTGTACGAAATCACAACAAACATTACTTGCTCTGCTGTGACAACATTTTGGTGATTATTTTTCTGCTTTTTATTCATCTTGTGGTGTGTTTCATAAGCACAACTAATCACCTCGGTGCAGCTTATATGCTGGTACGCCTTATAAACTGACTTTAAATCTTAGTTTGCCGATTTTTAACGTGCCGTGGCTTATACACCGGCAGCTTGGATTCTGAAAATTACAGTACATGAATGGTGTTTCAATGTGATGATGTGCACGTACATACATGTACAGTAAATACACATGGGCAAACAAACATGTACCTGTAGTTCTTCGTGTATATGAAAAGAGTTTGATGGTAAATTACATTTCATTTGCAAAAGCAACCCTTCAGATAAAAGTTTTGTTAATGGATTTTGTTGTACGTACATTATACCTATGCTATCTTTACAAACTGATTTAACTGATTCAAGCAAAAATATAATGTATTCACATGTGCATGATGCTGCATGACTTTCCTGGTCTGAAACACCCTCTGACATGCTTTCTGTGGAGATTGCCCGAACCTGATCAGCTGATCTGGTTACCTGACAAAGTGTGGTCAGCTGACACCTATCGACCAATCAACAGCCTTTAGCAGGTTTTTGATAGAGATGCCACAGATTCTTACTGGCTAGCTACATGTACATCAACAGTAGCCCAGAAGTACATATACATGTACTTATACATGTACATATACACATGTACACAAGTACATGTACATGTACATATACTTCAATCTCAAGGAATCAAATCCATCATTAAAAACTGATTGTATACCTAACCTGACCCTTTCTGTTTTACAGAAAACTGTTTACCCCACTTGATTCTTAAAAATCCTATTTAAACACAGTGAGGAACCGTACTTGATGGGATTCTTTCTGCTGTTTGTAATGTACAAGTTTATGTATCAAAAAACAAGATATAAACAAAACTTGGAATTCCATGAACTCAACACAAAACAAATTACAAAATGAAGGGAAGCTTGAAGCTTAACAATGACATGTATGTCAACTGAAAAATGATGCTTCATGCTCAGTATCATTTATTTTGAAAAGGAATCTCATAAGAAAAATTGCCACATCTCAAAACCAACAAACTGGAAAAACACACTCAAACTACTTATAATGGCAGTGAATTGAGTTTTATGTTTGAATGAATTTAAGCGTATATGTTGACTGAGCATGAGACATTCTGGGGAAATTTCATAAGTGTGAAAACAGTTGAATATGACAAAGCATTACCTTCTCCTGAAGAATAGGCAGGCAGAAGGGAGAGAAGCAGAGAGTAAGTTATTATCATCTACAAATGAGGAACAGTTGGATTCAAAATGACACAAATGGCCACAGGCAGAGCAGTGTTGTAGGCAAGCCCAACACAAGGCCATCAACAGGTGAAATAAAAGTAAAAGTCCAAGTCTGGTCACAAGAAACCCGGAATGAAAACGGCAAAGGAATGCCATCCTCAATTTTTAGTAAAAGCAGTGACACATGAATGAGTGACTTGTGAGGACTCAGCAACAGCAATGAGGCGCAGTCCATACGAAAGCAACAGCATGACACAACAGATATCCCATAATTAAAAAGAAACAACCCTGCAGGGGTACAACTAACTTAGAATGCATCCAGTAAAAGTTTAAACCCTAGATTCATCACCCTTCAAGATACCGGTAAGCTAAATTTGGGGTAGAGGGGAGGCATTTTCAACCTCTTCAAGATTACAGGCCTTCATGGAATGTACGTGTATGATTCCAGAAAACAGTCCAAACATATGTTGTGCAAAACCTACCCAAAACCGAAACTGACCCAATCTGAAACCAACACCAGGTCGGGTCGGAGCGGTTTTTCCAACATTTCAGTTGGATCAGGTCGGGTTCAGTTTTACATTTATGGTTTTTGGGTCAGTTACGCTATATTGTGAAAAACATTCAATAAACCAAAAATATTCAGGTGATAAATTTACTTTTTAGAGTTTCAGATTACATAGCCAAATTTATAAACAAACCCAGTGAGACACCATTCCAAGGGGCCATTACACTCATGCAGCAGTTTCAACCTGAGTGCGAGGGCGCACTTTGGCAATTGACTACTGCCTATTGGTCAAGGAGGATTTTCATGTGCGCGCACCGCCTGAGTGCGAACAGGATGGCCCCGTAGTAATGGCTTCTAATTTTGGACGTCAGATTTATCTATACATGTTTGTAGTGGCAGTGACAGGGCACATCAAAATAAAAAAAGCAAACACCAGATCAGAAACACGGTCGGCACAGCTGCACACATAATTCAAGCCAGTTCGGCCAACTTCGCATTTTTCACAAGAGTGGACGATTTTTCTTTTGGGAAAAATGAGGCTGATAGAAGAGATAAAGTTACATACGGAAATGTAGTAACCAATTCCGCATACTGTGTATATATTTTGATTCAAGCAATCGAAAAGACAATTACAAATCTTGTTCAAACAAAAGTTTGAATGCACAAAACATCGGAAAATACTTTGCTGTCCAAATTTTTTGAAAAGTTTATTTCGGAGCACAGTGATCTCTTTATATTTCCTGGTACCCACGATACTCTTGCAGGCATATGATGAAAAATGGTGAAATGCGCAATTGCACCGTTGGAATACCGAACAATGTGCATGGTTTACAGACATGCAGGAAGTTTATAGAGCAGGTCACCTTGTCACGACACAGGACAATACAACTACATGTACATATATTCATACAATACTGGCACATATGTAAGTTCAGGCACAAAAGGAATACAATTTGTATGAAATAACGAATGATTAGCCTAAACCAGACATTTGGATTTTTTAAACCAGACATTTGGATTTTTTATTGGTTTGGGTCAGTTTTTCCATGATTTCTTGTCGGGTCAGATTGGTTTCGGTTCGGTTTCAGTTTATGTCTTTAATGCTTGAGGTCAATTTGGCCTAGTCACCCCGATCCGGTGCACGTTATTAGTCCGAACTAGCAATGCCTGTAACTTCACCTCAGCATTAGCCCAAGACACCAAATTTAAGGACGCGAAGTTGTGTGGTAAGTTTTATGTTTTTTTTTTCTCTATATGTTCTTCCATTCTTCCTGAATTAAAAAAAATTTACACAAACACCATTTACACAAAGTACAAGGCAATCATGTACCCTCTATCTGGGTGTACTTGGACTTACTTGTGATAGTCTTTGACACAATAGATTTTATGGTCAACATCAATGGTGAAGGGTACCCCATCTAAGCAGAGGTTGCAAACAACACAGCGAAAACAACCAGGATGGTAGGACTTGCCCATGGCTTGAAGTATCTGTCAAACAAATCAGACATTCATCAACTCTGGCCAACATTCTTGTGCTTTTGCTGAAACCTGCAATGCTGGCTTGTCAGTAAATATTCAATGGACCAGAGAAATGTAAACAGACTACTTGATATGCAATTATTTTCCACTCACTGGAGGCACGGGGTTCCACATATCCCCAAGTATGGGGAATGGGGTTAACAGAAACATGTTCTACATCACAACAGGTAGTAATTGATTTGTTATATTGTCCTATGAAAAAGATAAAAGCTGTGATTTACTCAGCAAAAGCATAACTGTCTCTCCAATGCCTCACAGGATGTGTTAGCAGCACTTGCTGCATGTCTGTGTACCTACATGTCCAGGTATGTCAGACTTTTGTGAAGGCATATTGCACATACATACATCACAGCTGAGATTGGTCAGAGCAACATTAGAGATGGTCTGTGGGATGGGAATGGCAATAGGAAGTTTAAAGCAGCTTTTCCCTTCCGCTTTTTCCGGTCAAACTTTTGGACCTGGACATTATGTCTTTTGGGAAAAGAACTTCTTTAGTTTTCACAGACAGGGTTTAGTTGGTACATGTACTTGGGAATTAACATTGTTGTACTTGGGAAGTAACATAACTTATCTCTGGCAAGAGTGAAACGGAAAACACTGTTCAGTCCGTTTTTTCCCTCTTCTAGTACAACTGGAAGAGGAAACAGAAACTTACATGTGTACATGCACGTAAGCATGAACAGGGACTTCCAGGCTACGTACATAACCCCCTCCCCCGGACCATCCCATATGATTCTCATCAGCCTAGTCATGACAGGCAGCTCATTGAATGTAGAAGACACACTAATAACCAGCAAGGCTGGAATGCCTGCAGAACTATCCAGCTGATACAGTACTGGTCTTTCTCCAAAATTATGAATAATAATAAAAGAAAAGAAAATAAATAAAACGAACTTTTCTTGACCCTGCGTAATACTGAACCTGATATCTGCAAGTAAATTAACATCTGATACAGAATTTTGATCAGAAAGGTATTATTTCAACATTTTATCAATTTTCAGGAACATTCTAGTTAACATTATCACCTGGCTACATGTACATGTAGGGTGGAAATGTTTGTATCATGATTTCATTTTCCCAGCAAAATTACATACATGTACATCAAAGTGAACATGTACACTCGCTACCCTGGATATTACTCACTGTGTCCATAATGAGATGTCCACATACTGCACATTTCTCTGCTGTCTGCTGAAAGCCAGAATACTATAAGAAACAGAGATAATATGCTGGTAGTCAAGTATCTCTTTACATTACATATGTGCCAGTTAGCACAATGCTTCAGCTATTCAAAACTGCAGGTACCCTATCAATTATTAAAAAAAAAAGCATATATGGTATACAGTACTCGTAAAACGGTACTTTATGTACACCAAACTCTGTAAAATATGGGAAAAAAAAAAAACCACCAAAAAAACTTACACAGGTAAACATGTAAAGTCTCTGGTAATATATGAAGGGTTTAATTCCCAAATGAGATATATCCATTCGAAAAACATGCAATTTTTCCACAATTATGAAAGATCGAAGAGCTTAGCAGTGTACCATTTATACTTAAACTTCTTCGTTACTGTACTGACTTATTAAAGTTATGTTGGGCTGTCTAAAAGCTGCAGAAACTGTTGGCAAGCAACTAAGAGAGCGTAAGATTCTGAACGATGCCAAATTGGCACCTATCGCATTTGGGAAATAAACTCTTCATATGTTAGCTGAACATTTTCTGCACTAAAGTAATAGCCTTTTACTGCATAAGTTCTGGTACATGTATGTATAAAAAAAGACAATTAGAAAACATGCAGTAAATTATCCATTATATCCAATATCCATCCATTAAATTATCCATACCAGATAGTCTTCTTCACAGTAAACATTGCCATGGACATTGTAGAACGCCTTGCCTCTCAGAGTTCGTCCTGCCGAGAGAAAGAAATACATGCATGGCTCAATCCCATTACAAAGGCACAATTGAGGTACTGGAAAATCTGAAATTTGAATTTGACAAAAAGGTGTTGTTTTTGTTTCATATTAACTCATCATTCCTCAGAAACATTTTTGTGAAATATTAACACAAAATACCTGCAGACTCGTTTTTGGCATACTGTACCCTATCATTAAATTGACCCATTTCATTCTATGTAAATTCTGTTACGCGGAGTTCTATCGTTAACACATATTTTAGATTTCAAGACTGTTAACAATTTCCTTCTGATGAAGATTTCAGATGGAGGGAACCATGTCAACAAAGGTTTTTAGCAGACAAGAAACAAAAAATTGTTTTTGAATGCAGAAATTAACTGCAGAAAGATAGGGTTAAACATACTACTTGTGTAACATACGGTACTGTGTTGTAAAAGGAAACTTACGTTACCATATTGAGCTTAATTCATTATCATACCACAGTTTTTTTTTTAATTGGCTATAATAATCCCTGTGTAAAAATGCTTAGGCTTAATTACATGTATACCGGTACTTCAACAATTTCAAACTTGCGTCAAACTAACTCTTCAACTATTCAAAACAGATTACACAACACAAATGTTCAAATGTGAGGAAACATATGTTACAGCAATGACTTTATCCAGGTTGTAGTTTTAAGGTGAAAATTCAGAAGATTGTTAAATTATTCACTAATATCTCATGAAAGAACATATTCATGTGTTTAAAAACGGTCATTTCAGGGTTAACTACAACA